TGTAAATATGAACAATTTCCAACATAAAATAAAATATTCCTTAGGCCCATAGGCATTTTAGATCATATATGGTGATGTTGACATAAAACCAAAGTGTTTCTTTCCTTTGATCAAACCTATCATATTATCCAGGCATTTCACTACAACTTGTGAATGTTTTCACAAGTGTCTGAACTGATCATAGATTGCAATCTCAAGTCAGCCCCAAGAAAGGAGGTGGGGGAAGCCTTTTGGAATTTTAAGACATTCTCCTATTCCTGCTACCTCCCTTCCTCACAACACCCAACCCAGTTTTTGCTTCAGCCAAATTTGATACTTTCTGCCTTACTGGGAGCCCAAGCTAAAGGACATTGAAGCGAGAACAAAATGTGACAGAAGACCAAGAGGTTATCTTCTGCAAAGAACAGTGAACTGGGGTTCAGTTTGTAATTTGAAAGCCCTAGGTCAACCTGGAATGTTGTCAAATCCATTAACCAACCCACAGTTTCGAAGGCTATGCTTCTAGCTACAACATTGCAAAAGCTTGAGAGTGTGGCAAGCATCTTGCTTCTTCCTGCTTAAGCAACTCCACATTACTCTAAAATTAAATTGTAATGGAAATCTTTTGGATTTCAAAGGAAAGCCTTTGGTTATAGTAGAAAACGAAAAATTATTGTGATCAACTAAGGTATTTACCTATTTTTTCCCCAAAGCACAGGAAATGTATTCACAAAAAAAAAAAAAAAAAAAAAAAAAAAAAAGTCCCTGAGGGCTCTAGATAAAATGAAAAAAGTTTCCTGAATAATAGAGGTTATAGCTTTTAAAACTATAAATCTGAACAACTATTTTGTGTGTGTGTGAATGGCTAGTAGGTTTAGCTGAGCATGGTATAAATTTGCAGTTATCTTCAAAGGAATTTATATTAATTTTGTTATGGGCATGAAGAAAATAGTAGCAGGCCATGTGAATCAAGCTGAATATGCAGTGGATTCCAGAAAGAAAAATGTTTTCTTTATGTCCTAAACAGAAAATGTATTCTTCTTGGTAGTTTAGAAGCTTTTTTTTTTTTTTTAACTAAAGAGGTCATATACTACAGAGTCTAATTTTTGTATTTGTGACTATCTCTAGGGTATTTTTTTTTTAAGATTTTTTTTTTTTTCTGACAGAGATCACAAGCAGGCAGAGAGGCAGGCAGAGAGAGGAAGGGAAGCAGGTTCCCTGCTGAGCAGAGAGCCTGATTTGGGGCTCGATTCCAGGACCCTGGGACCATGACCCAAGCCGAAGGCAGAGGCTTTAACCCACTGAACCACCCAGGCACCCCCAAGAGAGAGATCACAAGTAGGCAGAGAGGCAGGCAGAGAGAGGGGGAAGCAGGCTCCCCACTGAGCAGAGAGCCTGATGTGGGGCTTGATCCCAGGACCCTGAGATCATGACCTGAGCCGAAGGCAGAGGCTTTAACCCACTGAGCCACCCAGGTGCCCCTCTAGGGTATTTTTAATATCCTGTGTCCAAAATGTAACTTGGAAACTTAAGTGTGAATAGAAGAAATAAAATGAGAGAGAACGAAGAGAAGGGTGATGTCCTACAGACAGTGTGTTTGCTGTGGGAGTGTAGCCCGTCAGTGTACCTGAACAGCAACAGTGTGACAGAGTTCCCTTGGGCATAGAGTTTCACTTGAAAACCCATTCCAGATCATCTCTCACAGGGCTTCAAAGAATAATGTGCTTAATTTAGGGTGGAGTTTTATAAGGGTCCACTTGCAGGATTTTCATGAGTCACTCTCAAAGATCCGTATACCCTTGAAATTGCATAGACACACTTTTTTGACTATCCCTATGTGTATTTATTTTTCTGGAGAAAAGAGTCACTAGCTTTCATCAGAGTCACAAAAGTATTCGAAGACCCTTGTCTCCAAAAAAATGGGCTAAGGACCACTGCTTTTGTGCATTACTGATTATTTGATGTCATTTTCTTGTCTCAGAAACAAGGGCGGGGTGTGTGTGTGTGTGTGTGTGTGTGTGTGTGTGTGTGTGTGTGTGTTTCCTGACAGAAAGACTTAATGTTACCATATTCTGGAAGTTTACATAAAGCATGAAATTTTTAGATATAGCCTCTTTCTCTACCTCCCATAACTAAGAAATTCAAGAGTACTTTATTTTAGACAGTAAGTACTTTATTTTAGACTATAAGAGCTTTTGTTGTCTATGGAACAAATTTCCATGTATTATCACTGTAGGAAATGGAAGAGAATTTGGAGGCCAGATATAATCAGAACTGTTGAAAAAGGAGATGATATCTTGATACTTCATCCAATTTTTAACACTGGATATATACTAGCATGGATATAATAATAATATAAATTAATATAGTTTTTCTCATCCTTGTGATTGATAATGGCTTCATTCCAAATATAGGAAATTTGATCATCTTAAATGTGTCTGTGTTTCTACGGTTACAACAATTTGATAAAAATACTGATATGAAGTCATTTGACAGTTTATTGCTCTCAAGTCACCCTATGAAAATTGATCCTTTGGAGGGGATCCTATGTATCCCCTCAAAGGGAAGAGAAGTTTCCAGCTGTCTTGCTGTTGTCTGGTAGGTTGTAGATGACTGGAAATTCTAGAAGGCTCATTCTAAGACTTCGTTCTCCATGAGATCATTGAGTGGATCACAATTGGTTTGTAAGTCAGAGTAAAGATTCCACCGACAGAATCAATGCCCAAGATCAGAATTTGGCAAATGCCTCTCTTGGAAGATCCTAGAATGAATCTAAATATATCATTTGGTATAAAACAGCTAGAATGGCGTATTACTGTTCCTTGATATGAAGCCCTACAATACATGTACTAACCCAAGGAAAAGGGAAAAATTAGATATCATAGTTCTTTGGGAAATGCCTCATAAAAATTTTAGATATTGGAAAAGAGACCCTTTTCTAACATGTATGAAAATACAAATCCATGTAGGGATGGGTATTTCCTATGTCAGCAAATTCTCTTCGTAAACAAGTGTGCTGTATTAACATTTCAAGTTAGCCCTTGATTTTCAAAGAGCCTTTCAACAGGAACTTACTTAATCCTCAGGATCACCAGTGGGGAAAAAATCTCCTTCATAGACATGTAAATGGAAGGTTTTTTTTTTAAGATTTTATTTATTTATTTGACAGAGATCACAAGTAGGCAGAGAGACAGGCAGAGAGAGGGGGGAAGCAGGCTCCCCACTGAGCAGAGAGCCCATGCGGGGCTCAATCCCAGGACCCTGAGATCATGACCTGAGCCAAAAGCAGAGGCTTTAACCCACTGAGCCACCCAGGCGCCCCATAAATGGAGTTTTAAAGGGATATTTTGTCTGAATCATTAATGGCCTTTGAGCCCAAGGGGAGCCGCACTGACCTTTTGCTTCCTTCTTCCCGCTTCCCTCCCCTTGGACCTAAAGGAGGAATTTTCAAACGTTCTCCATCCACAGGAACATCCAATCACACATGGGTCATCCGTCTCCTGTAATTCCCTCTGGAGTACAAAAAGAAATCTTGGGACCCACAATCATCATTTTCTTGCATTTTTAATATGTTGATTTAAAAATAGCACCCATTTTTGTGTAACTGACATTGTGGACCATTCCTTTAAGATGAAAATCAAACCATGAAAAACACTGACTTAGTGAAGAGAAGTCCCCAGGATACTGATAATACTGTAGAAGTGTAACAGGTCACCCACGTTAAACACAATCCCTTCTTAATGGAGCAAGAAATACTATTATTTCTCACAGGGCAGCAGTTTCTGGATAAAAGGGGGGGGGAAAAACCCACAACAGGAGGGGGCAAGGGAAAAACTGAGATGACTAAAGTCCTTTTTTTTAGTTCGTATTTACAGAAGTGGTACAGAATCTTGATTATTTCTTTTTTAAGATAGCTTCTCTGTATAACACCATCTCATTTTTTTTTTTTAAACCATCTCATTTTTATGGTACTGCTCAATTCCTTAACTATTCTGGGAAGGTAAAGAGTGAGAAAATGCTGTGTGATACCAAAATGAGCAAAAGAAGTAGTTCGATGAACCGTGATGACACTTGGAGAGGTCACTTGAAAATGAACTTCATTTCTTTTTCATGGTCGTCTCTCATGGACATTCGTTTTTAATACTCGTCTTTAATATGTTGGGTTGAACCCTATGTGACTGCTGATGTTAGGGCAAGTTTTACATCTTTGAGCTCACCATGAATCGCTGAAATACTTTAGAAAAGGTCTGGGACACCCCAGAATTCAACAACTGAATTCAACACCTGTTTCCGGACCGCCCACCATGTGCCTAGTGCCTTGCTCAGTGGTGAGGACACAGTAATGGCAAGAGGCAGATGGCAGATGCCATGTCTCCCGGATTCTTTATCATGACTACTATGCTGTTAAGAACCCATAATCCAGAAGATCATTTATGGTCAGATGTACATAGACCCCCCCCCAATGTAGCCAGTAGTTGACTCAACAAGTGTAAATTTGTCCCCAGCTGATTTTAATAATCTTTAATAAAGGGAACCTTTCAGGTGTTTTCTTAGCACTGTGATGACATCAGGGATCTGACCTGTTTTAAATTCCCATTTTCCACGTAAGAAACTGAACCACTGGGTACATAGGAGACTTGCTTAAGGTCACATTTAGCTTCCAGTCTTCCGGTTGCTGACTCAGGACTTCATCTACTAACCTTCCTTCCTCTCTCTCCTCACCCTGTGCACACACACCCCGCCCCCGGAAAGTAGGGTGGTGGGTGCCTTCACCGGCCCCAGCACCCCGGGAGCTCTGTCCGGGGAGAGGGCAAAGTCAGATAGACTCTGTGGTGGGAAGATTCTGCAAAAGGATTTTCTGTACAATTTTTGCTCCGTATTTTTTCCCTTCATATGTTGTTATCTCCCCCGTGCTCAGTAATTTTAGTTTGTGCTTTTTGTTTCCCTTTTTTGTTTCTTTGGTTTGCTGCTTTGTGTTCTTTTCTCTTTTTTTTTCCTTTTCTTTTCCTTTTTTAATGCAGGAATCGGTCAAGGTGTTCCAGTGGTGGCGCTCATTGTGGAAGGAGGACCCAATGTGATCTCGATTGTCTTGGAGTACCTTCGAGACACCCCTCCAGTGCCTGTTGTTGTCTGTGATGGGAGTGGACGGGCATCTGACATCCTGGCATTTGGGCATAAATATTCAGAAGAAGGCGGGTAGGTAATTTACCAGGCCCTGTAAGAGACCTTTGAGTACAAAGCCTGTGTTCAAAGCTCTGAAAGATGGTATCCATTGATGGAGATGTTTGGTCTGGGAAGGTGGTAGGGAAGATATTCTAGATGTCCTATGAAGTGAGAAATTCCATGAAAACCCCACTAGACCAGACTAATAAGGAAGAAAAAAAGGGAAAGAGGGGTCATAGCACGTCTCTTCTCTTCATTTCTTCTCTCTTCTGCTCTTCCCACTATGGAGAAGCAGGGACTGGGTTTGAACACATAAAGGACAGCTAATCCAGACCCTATGGTTCATGCAAGAACCTTGGGAGAAGCTGGGATGTGCAGCTTTCAGGTTCAGCCTCCAAATACCAGCTTCACCAAACCGCTGCATGTTTACAAAGGCCAAAGGTTTACCAAAATTTTGGGTGGCCTGTGCTGTCAAATCCTTCTAGATCAGCTCAAAAAGCAGAACCTCTAACCACTCTGGTCCTCTGTACGTCCTTCCTGGCCTCCTGCCCATGAACTTTCCTTGGTCTATCTGTCCCCTGTTGGTATTTTCAACAGTCCAAAGCCCCAACCCCAAGAAGGACCTCCCTTCCCGCCTTCCCTACCAATCTGAGGTCCCACCTAGGGAGTGGTAAAAATCCAAGCACTCGCGTATTATTGATCAAAGTAGCTCATCCTGAGGTGTGAATAAGTTTAAGGAAGAAAACTCAGGAGGAGTCATTTAATTTATTTATTTTTACTTATTTTTTGTTTGTTTTTTTAAATTTTTTTATAAACATAGAATGTATTATTAGCCCCAGGGGTATAGGTCTGTGAATCACCAGGTTTACACAGTTCACAGCACTCACCATTATTTTTTTTTTAAAGTTCTTATTGATTTACATAATCTTGTACCCAGCATGGGGCTCAAGCTCACAACCCCAAGATTAAGAGTTGCACGCTCTTCTGACAGGGGCAGCCAGACACCCTGGTCATTGAATTTTTAAATATGGAAGTTTCTCACCTAATCAGTTCTCCTAACCCATGAACCTGGTGGGAGAAAGGAGCCCCAGAGGAGATGGGATCTTTTATTTATCCCTTTTACAAACATACACAAAGTGCCCACTGGGCACCACACACGCAGATAGGAAAAAGCATAACAACTCTTCCTAGCCTCCGAGAGCTCCTAGGAAGTCTAATAGGTAGACAAGTCTAATAATAGTGAGTGACTGGTGAGCTTGCCCAGTACGGGACACTCCATGCCCCACCGTCCGCCAGGTGGCCATTCACACAGCACCCTGTCCTGGCAAGTGTACAGACCTGAATCCAGGAGAGTCAGGGGCCCTCCAGCTAACAAGGCATACAGGGACAGTGATTTCAGGACCCCTAAAGCTTTCAATATGAAAAACACAAAAACAAAAGCCAATATTCATAAGCATGAAATTGGAGTTTGCTTCCTGGCAAATTGATACTACTTTTCTGTTCTCCTTTCAGCATAAATATTGGTCCATTCTCTAGCTAAAAAACTCAAAAGAACACTAGCCCGAAAGCCTCCATGTGGGTTACGAGCCAGAGCTCAGGATCCTCAACTGTGCTTTGATTTTATTAAAAATTTAGCCATAGTGCTCAGTGATTGACATACAGCAACGCGTTCCTTTCGCAAACATACCAGAAGAATTTACACAATTTTTAGCTTTGGCTTCCTTTCTGCCTTCCCAGTGCTTGTAATCACCGTACAGTGTTTCCACAAAGTAGACATGAGGTTGCGTTGAGAATGCACATTTCCTTTTCAGAAAATTCATGGAGAAGTAAGCTACGGATCTCAGCATTTCAGGTCTTCTAGGTCTGTGCGCAGTGAAGGTCTGGGTCCAGGGCCTCCTTTTTGTCCTATTATGGGTTGTATACTTTGAAAATGTTACAGTTTTTTGCTCAGTTGCTCTTCCTGATTCTGTTTTGTATGTAGGGAAATGGTACACGCCTTAGAGCTTGGGCGGGAGGGACAGAACCGGGGGGACAGATGCACAGAGAAGTTATGTGCTTGCCCACGATCCCAGGTCAGGACTCTTCCTGGTCTATTACAAAAATTCACTGAAATGGATTTTGTGGCATCTGCCTTCATGTTTCTTATGTAGTACTTCAGTGGTCCTGTTGTTTGGCTGTAGGTGCACTTAAGTTCCCTTTAGCGTCCCCTTTGCATTGTAATTTCGTATTTTTTTATATTATTCTATGTAGTCCCAAAAGATAAAATCAGTGCATTCCTGGCTGTAAACCAGTGTTCAAGCTGACCAGTGCGGGTTCCTCTTTTCCCCCCGACTTTCCTTAAAAAAAAAAAAAAAAATTAAGTTTTTACCTAAATTCCAGTTAACACATAGTATAATATTAGTGTCAGGCATCATATAGATAGATTTTTTTCCTTCCCCTGACCCAGACCCAAATAAGAGTCAGAATACCATGGCCTTTTAACTTTAATTGGCAATTCTAGTTTTAAAGCCAAAGTTTAGTTTTAGCTCTGTTTTTTTTTATGACCAGTGTGCAAAAGCGTAGTCTATGTGGGATGTGTACAAACATATAAACCAAGTGGATCATCAAAGAATTAACCAGTGTGAAGATGGAGAATTAAGATCTAATTTCTAACCTTGGGAATTATTAAAATTAAAACTTAAAAAATTTTAAGAAACACTTAGAAACAGTTATTAAGAAAATACAAACTTCAAGAGAAACTTTATATTTGCCAACCCAAATATACAAGTCTGCATTTATTTACTTTATAGGCTATTAAAGTAGAAGTATGCTCTTGCTCCAGGAAAGCAGTTATAAATTTATCCTGATCAAATGAATTCGTGACGTTGCTCTGTGTCATTTGAATAACTGCCAGAATTAATCATGTTTATTTCGCTTGAATAAGACGTTGTCTAGCCACACATGTGTAGCTGATTTTAAAAAGCACTTCCAAGGAACAGTATTTTACAGGAGTGTGTTTTCTTTATGCTGAAAAAACAAACAAACAAACAAACAAAAATGAGCCCATCTCCAACTACATTCACCAAAAATTTCTTTTTTGATTGCCAAAAAGTCCAACAGAGTTGCGATATATTTCACTACAAATAAATATAAATGTGTAACTATATGTTCAAATAGACAAACATATATAAATAAATGGGTATAATTGTACATATAAAATTGATTATAGAAAACACCTTGTTACTAAACCTGAATCAGAGTTTGGAGTCATTGATTTTTGCTTTTTGGGTTTTTGTTTTTTTTTTTTTGGTTATTCAAATATGCTTTAAAATGTTTTAAACTCATTTACAGATGGTTAGATAAATAATACAGGTCCAAAGACTGGTAAATATGTATATTCAACTCTAAAGCTTTTCATTTTATAATCTTAAAGAAGTGAATGAAATTTACATACCTTCTGGTTTAACTTTTGTGAACTTGCTATTTTGCCTTTAAATTCCCTGTTATTAACCACCTTCCAAGAATATGAATTTGAAATGGCATCACTTTGGAAGCAAATTATAATTGGCAAAACTAATTAACTTTTGTAGATGAGATTACTGGTGATAGAGGAAGATAGGCTCTATCTATTCCCACACAAATGGCTCTCTGCTCTATGGCACAAGCTCCCCCCAAAATGGCCAAATTCTCTTTTTCCCTTATTGTCCTACTAGATTTTCTATTTCTCATCTGTCATAGTTTAAAATGAGTCACAGATCACTTTCCCTAACTAATTTCATTCCTTAAAAATCTTACCAATTTTTTTTTTCTGACTCATGAATGACTAAACACTGCAAACAGAAACAGATTAATGCCACCCAGGAGCATTAGATTGGATTACCTACATTTTCTTTTCTTTTTTTCTTTTTAAAAGATTTTATTGGGCGCCTGGGTGGCTCAGTGGGTTGAGCCGCTGCCTTCGGCTCAGGTCATGATCTCAGGGTCCTGGGATCGAGTCCTGCATCGGGCTCTCTGCTCAGCTCTGCTCTGCTCTGCCTACTTGTGGTCTCTGTCTGTCAAATAAATAAATAAAATCTTTAAAAAAAAAAGATTTTATTTATTCATTTGACAGAGAGAGACAGCAAGAGAGGGAACACAAGCAGGGGGAGTGAGAGAGGGAGAAGCAGGCTTCCGCTGAGCAGGGAGCCTGATGCAGGGCTCCATCTCAGGGTCCTGGGATCATGACCTGAGCTGAAGGCAGATGCTTAGCAACTGAGTCACCCAGGCACCCCAATGACCTACATTTTCAAATACTAAGATTTAGTACTAAGATTCCACTTTTTGCTGCTGACCAAGGAAGCCAACCAACATCACGCATTGTCAGGAACACCTTTCAGGGGATAGGTGCCTGCAGCTGAAGTCAGAGGTTGCTTGAAAATTCGTAATCTAAGTTTCAGATTGCAGAGAAACATGGTCTAGCTCATTTATCAGTCAGTGAGAACGAGTCAGCGTGAAAAAGGCATCTGAATACATGCGCATTCTGAGATGATGTTCCTCGTTCCTCTGGGTTTTATCGCCAATCCTTACATTTATTTTGGTGTCTTTTCCCCATACGTAATTATATGGATTTAGATTTTTAGAGTACCTAGGACAAGAAGCGGGACCTGTGATAGCAGAAAGCCTTACAGATCTTAAGTAGTCTCTGGATAACTTTTGGGAAGTTACCAGTGGGACAGACACCAGGACTCTTCCCATTGTTCTGTGTCAGTGGAATTTGTAGTAGATATGGTGGAGAAACACTGAGGAATGGCCTTCTCTTGAGGACAGGAATAAATTTTTAAAAAATCAAATGAATCAAATAAAAATTCTGATCTTCCCTCTTTTGGCCTATCTTGAGGACAGGAATAGATTAAAAAAAAAATCAAATGAATCAAATAAAAAATCTTATCTTCCCTGTTTTATGGGAGTTTAATAAAGGTCCCTTTATTTTTTTGATTAGCTGAGCTGAAGGCATAAATGGAAGGCAAAGTGGAGATGAATAAGGAAAAATAGGTTGCATGGCTTCCCATTTTATC